CCTCAAACAGAATGGGAGCTTATGTTTAATGCTGGACTTGCTATAACTAGAGAACACAGATATAACTAGAAAAAGGCCATATTAGTTGAAAAACACAGTGCGAATCAAGCAGTAAGTAACTGCTAGAAAAATAAAGGGCCAGATTCAATGAACAAAATTGAGGCATTTTCATTTCCCATTCGCCATCCAAAATATCCAGGGGTAAACACAAAATAAAGAAAGCCACACGTGAATGCCCATTAATGAAGTCTTGAATGTGAAAATGCTGTTTTTCAAAAATATACGAGGACAGAATTGACATATTAAGAAAAATGATAATTCTTACCGTAAGTATTGAAGCTGGAACTGCCAATACTGTTAGAGGAATGTATGCTACAGCTCTGCAAGGTTCACAAAGCATGTGAGGGTCAATATGATATTCCTAACTATGAAATTTGTGATATGTTTCATTATTAATTTAATTAGTGATGTGTCCTATAACCATAGAGTAACTTGATTTTCATGACCTTGGAAACACAAATTAGCCTTGTTCTAAATTACTCACGACAATAAATTCTCTAGACTTTGAGGTCAGCTCAACACATGTACTTCTTAGGTCACAACTTTAAAACTGTACATCTCTGTCATGAGAATGAGGGAGGAAAAAGGGCCACTCGTGACTTTATTTTTACATAAAGATGGAAGACTTGAACCAGCAGAACCTTGACTTGCACCTTCTACAACAAAGTGATACACCCAAAACCCTATTCTTCAGCATTATGCAAAATAATCATCACCTTTGACTACTAACTGACATGGCAATGTAAGTATAGCAACAATCTCAAAGACAGTAGTTAAATTATAATCTTTTTTTTTTTTTTGAGATTTCAACAGATGATGTAAAATACAAAATAAAATCAATTAAGCAATGGGTGTGAAAGAAAAATTATCGTAGTTATGTGGGTAAATATATAAACAAGTTTACACAGACCCTCCATATACAACTAGAATTTTAACTTATTTGCAATAAATATAAATCCCCAGATGAACTGGTGAATAATGAAGGGGTCTTTTCTATTTCTCCTTTTCCACTTCAAAATTTTTTTAGTGACGAAAGCAATCATGAGCTGTATTCATCCTCTCATCTGTCATCTATGATCAATGATTTATTCATATCCACTTCTCAGACACTTTGGGCACAATATAAAGACTTGATTAGTGTAGGTACACAAAAACTGTACTTACAGCACAAGAGGACCCCAAGGACCAAGATCATGCTCAATCCACGCTAAGAAATCTTTCAGCATCTGCACATAGCAACTCTTTCAGCAACAAGATAACTAAATCACTCATTCATATAAAGCCGATTTTAGTGCAAGGTTTGTTTCTAAGATAAATATCTTTTAAGTAATTATGTGTTTTACTGATTTATATGTCTTCAAGTGCTTTAAGTATTTTTCCAAGAAGCAACCCACCACATTCAAATAGTGTGATCAATTAAGAAGAAATTTCATCTGCACATTTCGCATCCGAAGAGAATAGTTCCTCTAATCTGGAAAACTTGCCATTACTTTCACAAAGGAAACATAAACACATGCTCAACCAACAAATATTCAACCAATTTAAACAAATAAACGTGATTAGAAGAAGAAAGCCCATTATTTGCAAATGAATTCATCATCCAATTGCCCTGCATGAATCAGATACTAAGGACTAAAAAATCACTTAAACTGCCCAAGGTCGACCTTAGAATCCACATAATGTTAAACGTAGCTAAAATAAATCATATCGAAACAGTCAATTATTTAGGAGGCATCATAATTAACATTCCAATAATTCCTAAGCGGCTAGGTTTAGATCAGGATATTACCAAAATCATTCCAAGAAACACCAAAACAAACAACATTGAGCAAAATAAAAACGACACAGAACAAAAAATCCCTTAGAACAGCTCATAAAGCACCAAAACAAGCATCATTAATCAAAATACCTGTTGTTTGTTTAATTCGTTGTATAATATATATAACTTACTTTTTCAACGGGCAGAGTGAGGCAAGCGGTGGCAATTCCCGCAATGAGAAGTAAAAGAAGAATGATTTTGAAAAAAGAAACCCAACTAAATTTGAAACCCATTTTTATTGAATGTGAGGACAAATATGCAAATCTCTTGCGCCAAAGTCTACACTCCTCTTCTGGTTCCCCTGCTAAAGCTTCTTTCAATGAAAAGCGAGGCCTCAAGTTAACTCCCCCTAAATTTGCCAGATTGAATTCAAGAAACTATATAGCATGACCATGAAGAGGAACAAAAACAGAATTGAAACTTTAGCCCAATTAGTTCACAAATCAAAGTGTTATACCCACAACATTGGTTCTTTAGGTTGTTTTTGTGCGAGAGAAATTTAAGAGAGACGGTTTTTTTTTGGTTATTACAAAGACATTGGGATTCTCTTTTCCTTTTTCCCTCTCTCTTTCGCTAGAACATTTTTACGCTGGGATTGTGATGTTTTTTTTGGTTAGATTTTGTCGTACATAAAAATTGTACACACAGACGTTACATAATAATAATAGGCCAAAGCCATTTGTACCCGGGTACAACAAACAAATTAAGCAACATATCTATATATAACTTACTTTTTCAACGGGCAGAGTGAGGCAAGCGGTGGCAATTCCCGCAATGAGAAGTAAAAGAATAATGATTTTGAAAAAAGAAACCCAACTAAATTTGAAACCCATTTTTATTGAATGTGAGGACAAATATGAAAATCTCTTGCGCCAAAGTCTACACTCCTCTTCTGGTTCCCCTGCTAAAGCTTGTTTCAATGAAAAGCGAGGCCTCAAGTTAATTCCCCCTAAATTTGCCAGATTGAATTCAAGAAACTATATAGCATGAACATGAAGAGGAACAAAAACAGAATTGAAACTTTAGCCAAATTAGTTCACAAATCAAAGTTATATACCCACAACAGTGGTTCTTTAGGTTGTTTTTGTGCGAGAGAAATTTAAGAGAGACGGTTTTTTTTTTGGTTATTACAAAGACATTGGGATTCTCTTTTCCTTTTTCCCTCTCTTTCGCTAGAACATTTTTACGCTGGGATTGTGATGTTTTTTTGGTTAGATTTTGTCGTACGTAAAAATTGTACACACAGAGGTTACATAATAATAGTAATATGACTGTGCAAGATGGAGAGTCATGTGACATTACGTACTCCCCAACGTATATGTATCTTTTTTGTTTAGCAACTCCTGTTTGGCGCACATTTTGAGAGTAAGAATGCATTTTTACTGTTGATGTGAGGAGGTATATATGGTTGAAAAAGAAGGAATATTTATTGATGTGATGAAAATATTATTTTATTAAGAATGAATGGTTGAAAATGAGTAGAAAAATAAAAATGAGAAAAATAATGTGGATCAAACAGGGGCCTCGTAAGATAGAGCCCCGCGATTCGTGCGAGGATTAATTGCAATTTTGGGTGTTAAACTTTTTTCTTATACTTTCTTTCATTGGGGTAATTTAAGATGTGAATGCTTTATTTGTACATAAGACAGTGTTCATAATAGTGTCCACTCTCTCACATAGAGGGGACCCACTGTGATATATTATATTTTATTCGAAGTGGGTTCCCCTTCATGTGAGGCGATGGATATCGTTATGAACACCGCATTATGTACGTGTAACATCACCCATTTTTAGATGCGTGCAAAATAAAGTGGACTAACCGAACCGAGTCAAAATCGAAATGAACTGGTCCACTTAAATTTAAATGGTTTTAGCTCTTAGAACTAAGAATGAATAGGTTCTGAGTTGGTTTCGATTTTGGCGTACATGAACCAATTAACCTATTTTTTATATGTTTACACTATAAACTTAATTTAAAGAACACGAAAGGACATCTTTTTATTGGTTCTTCAATCTTCAACGCCCAAATTTTCTCGTCCAAAATTTCAAATTTTTCCATTTGAATTGAACAAGGTATATTGTTCTGATTTTGAATGTGCATATATTTGCACTAATAATTTGGAAATGGACCAAAATTTCAAATTTTTCCATTTGAATTGAACAAGGTATATTGTTCTGATTTTGAATGTGCATATATTTGCACTAATAATTTGGAAATGGAACTTAACATACTCGTACAGTATTTACAGTATTTTAAGATACCCTCTTCAAGAAAGAACCTAATCACATCCACCTTTAGGGTATAAGGAGTCTTGTTATGGAAATTATAATTTATAAGGAGTCGTATTATAAAGTAGATTGGATAGTATAAATTTTTTTTAATGACTCTGGTGTCCGAGTTCGTCTGATTAATCTTGAGGAGTTTGATCCCTTTTTCTTCTCTCTGTTGGAGGAGATAGTTTTTTTCAACTCGCATTCTTCAAATTTCTCATAGTAAAAAATCTCAGAAGAACTCTCAAAACTCTTTAATAAGCTTCGGCTGGATGAAGATGGATCGATTTGTCTGCTTGGGATGCACAATTACAGGGCAGGAGTAACACAAATGGAACTTTGCTCGACGGGAAATTTTTTTGTGAATATAGCCATCAACAAATATAAACTGTACGACATCTTACACAAGTTGGAAAGTACTGCCAATTAATCAATTCTATTCATTCTACTTTCAGTCGTGTGTATTAAACAAGCACTGGTAACTTGGTTATTATGACTTCGAGTACACTAAACAAGTCTGTACGAAAACTTGGCTACCTAAACTAAGAACGCGTATTTCCGCAAGTCTCAAAACTGATAACACTCCAGTTTCAAACAAGTTAACCTAAGTGTACAGGTGTGAAAAATGTAAAACCACAAGGACCAATGCTGGGGGAGGGTGTCTAGGATTCCATGTGAAGCAACTTCGGACGAAAAAAATCTGACAAACAGCTGCTACAACGGGAAAATCTCTGCATAATGTATCAATCTCAATAGAACTACACAATGAAACAATTCAATGCTCAAACCTTTAATGTAATGCATAACAAATTACTTGAAAATTCATACGAAAAGACTTAAGTGCACCGTATTAACTCCATGGATCATCCCATCCTTTGGGTCCGTCTCTTTTTACAAATTCGATTATTGCCTGGACAGCTTCCTCAACTCTGTTAGAGAGCGAATGGTTTCCATATTCGATTTCAACTTTTTCTGCACCACCCATTGCTCTGAACAATCTGGAAAAGTTCGTAGCATGGATGAAAGCATGAGTAAAATCTCCCGAAAAAACAGAATTCAACTTAGAACGTACAGGTAAAAGTTATACAAAGAGTCGTTCTTGCCTATTGACCAATGCTTTCTTGTCCACATAATCTGGTACGTATTCATCAGCCATGGAGAACATCACCTGCAGAGGGAGAGCCTTCTCTCAAAACAAACATGGCATTGTGCTTGTAAAGACTTATTACGAGGTTCTTTTTATACCCTTATTTACATTTGCGTTTTTGTCCCCTTAACACATGATGATTCCCAGAGTGTCCCAATATATTATTCACTGCGCATCATATACTCAGTTTGGTCCAAAAACCATCCAAACTAGACCCTTTAACCCCTAGTAGTATCCACTATCGCCACAAATAGAAAGCCAAAGTTAATTATACAAATCTGAAAAAGGTTCTAGCTCAACGAACTCAAGAATCAACCGACAAATTAAAGCCTATCTCAGAATAAGAAAATCGACATCAATGCTGTTCGTCGGTCACCATGTCACTGCATATTCAGACTTAGCCAAAAGTGACACCGTGATTTAAAATGACTATTTGTAATTGTGGGTCCATAAATAATGCTCCAACTGTAACTGCTGTCTTAGCTATATGCACGTATATCTTCGAATCGTATAAACAACAAATCTATTACGTAGCTTAAATAGACCTGTGGAATGTGTTGCCTTCAAATGCAACTAGAAAGCGGTGTTAGTTCGAGAACATGTTTGGCTAACCTTAAAAGTAAGTATAAGTTCCTTCAAAGTAACCCTTTTGTTTTCGAACACGTTCGGATGAGTTACTTTCTCTTTACTTTTTAAGTTAAAGAAGTTACACATTTCGTAAGTAACTCTTACTTAGAGTGAAGTATAAGCAATTAGACAAAGAAGTATTTATCTTAAAATTTACTATTCTACTTATAAGAAAACTTCTTAAGCTTAGCCAAACATACTCTAATTTATCTAAACAGTGAATCCTACCAGGCAAGGTGTATTGGACATGTGTCCAAGTCTCTGTTTCAATTGGTCTTCACTAAAGTCAGAACTGAACATGTCGTCATCACCATTGTATGCACAAAGCGAATGATATCTGCATGACAAAATAGTGCTGAGAATTCAACAGATAGATGGAAAATCAAATTATACAGAGAATGCTGTGACTTAAGCAAGTTTGGTCACATTTCTACAACTCTCACCTATAGGCCGTTATTGGGGAATCTGGATTGGATTCCCGAGGCATTAATTCTGATCCTCGACCTTCACTAATCATCGTTGAAGCTAAATCAATCATGGAAGCAGTTTCTGGGAGAGTGGCTTTGAATTCCCGGTCACTCACTGGAGCCTGAATAGTCAATCAATGCGATAATAGACGATAATTTGAAAGCACGACATCGAAGTAATATAGGAATGCAATTTACTATAGGACCGTTGAAATAACAGCCAAGATCCACTTCCATGCACCCCACTTCCATTGAAAATCATGCTATTGTAAAGAGGGCATCAGAATTGAAACTAATCAAAATTTTATGCAAGGCTGACAAGCTGATATTGCATAAAGCATTATAAATAACTCTTATCCAAGAAAATTGAAGATCCAATAAGGTTTAGATCCTAAAATATCCACCCCATTGGCAACCTTTTTGCTTATCACTTTAATGAAGCGTAAGGTACTTTTGTGATCAATAAACTTTTTATTATGTTTCATAATGACGATTACACTTTATTATCCCAGATTATCATTTAAAATTGGAATGGTTTCAAATGTGAGATTTACTGTAAAATGCTGGTAGCTGAGTAGCATGGAATCTTCAGACATGATTTGCATGTGCATTTCTCACGAATTTATCTACTGCTAAGTCACAAGTAGGCAGAAATGGAGACCCCATTTATAAGTAGAGTTAGAAAGTGAGAAAAGAAAATGAATTATATTGGCTAAATGGACTACTTATGATGACTAAAACAGAACTTGAACCATAAACACATCAAAGTTTGCATACATCAAAATTTGCCAACATGGATGCAAACTTTGATGTGCATGCTTCCAACAAAACACTTCACTGCTAAATAGAATAATAGTTCGGATACAACATGAAAGCAGTATCTTCTTATTCTGTAACCTCATTGTGCATCAAGTTTGAGAGCCGATGGCCCAAATTGACTTGTACAAAACCTGTAATATTTTCTTTCAAGATACAGTATGTTTCAAATATCAATTTCAGATTAGATTGTTTCTGCCTTTACCAATAATCATTTTCAGCAAACAGTTACCACTTCCCCTTTGTTTCTCCAAATGTAAGCTTAGATAGAACTTAGATGCAAAAACCAATAGTTCAAATGACTGAAAACTCTAATAGATAAACAACCTAAACACTAATTACATGGAAAATTTAAACCCTAAGGGATGGCTCAATTGGTTAGGCCTTGGGTTTGCTCCCCAATGGTCACTAGTTCGAGTCTCCTCAGGGCCACTGAGGTGAGTATCCGGCCGTAAACTTCAAGGCCCCGTGGAATTAGTCGAGGTGCGCGCAAACTGGCCCGGACATCCACGGTTATCAAAAAAAAAAAATTACATGGAAAATTTACCTGTAAAATGGCTGCACGCACTGCTCTTGAACATGCTGCATTGGTACGCATGTAATACACGATATCCTACACACAGGATGAAATGAGTTTTAGCTATATTGTCACGTGCCATATTTTTTATAGATCAGCAGAATTACATCAGAACGCAGGATCTAAGCTCAAAGAATAAATTAATTACCTGGCAGCCAGTACTGTGTCCAAGTAGTACCACACCTTCTGAATCTTCCTTGTTTATCAAGTAACTTATCAATTGATCAAGCTCCAAGGCGTCCTTCAATAGACAATGCAATAACATAACAATTTAGCAAACAAAGTGAAACAACAATATAGTATTCAAAAGTCATATTTCATGAAATTAGAAAAAGCCAACATTTTGAACTATCGAGAAGAACATTTCAAGATTCAAAGTAAAAATTCAGACCACGAGGTTATGAACTAACTCTTGATCATTAGCAAAAACTGGATGATTGAAAGCTTGCACAAATAACATAATGTACCTCTCCTTTTGTCTATTATATTAAAAGAGATAGAAATCCAATACCTGATACACTAAACAAAAGGTTGACGCTGATTTCTATAGAAAAATGAGCTGCTTACTTAACAGTACCATATATGAACTACATATAAAGTAACTTTATGCAATAGCATGCAGAATTCTAACTGAGATGTGAACCAAGACACTTTGATATAAAGGTATATTACATGAGTGTATAGAGTTTGTTTCCAAGATCAGAAAATTTGTTAATAAATTTTATAATCAAGGAGTCCTCCATGAAAATGTGCATATGGAACAATAGATCAAAAGGAAGAAAGTGAAACGCCTCGCAAAAATCCTAAAAAGGGATATTAAAATTTACTCTATCAGACGTCATAAAAGCTGGAACTGGAAAGAATAAATACTTGTTTCAAGCTTGACACGCCATATCCACTGTATGAAGATGAAAACAGAAATTGAACTAGTGACCAGCTCTCTTTCTCCAATGCAATTGCCAAGGGCTCCAAATATCTGGAAGATTAAGAATCATCTACTTCAGGATGAAAAGTGTGATCTTATTTATATATCTTTTTAAAATTGTTGCAACCGAATTGGATGGAAGAATAAGTTTGACAATTTAATCACTTGAAGCTTTTATAACTAACACTATTTATGTATAAGCAATTGTGCAAAAAGAAAACATGCCTAGTTGAGTCTCAAAACACTGGACTTACCAACCTTTAATTGCTACTGACCAGGCCTCAGACAACATAATTTGTAAATTTTGTTCATAAAGGCTGTCTCGTAATTTTCCCAAATATCAAAAAGTTAGGGTCTGTTCTCTTCGCTGTTTTCAGGCTATTTTCAGTTTTCAGTTTTCGAAATTACTGAAAATACGTTTACTTACCTATTTTCATAAACGAATTTCCAAAAACGAGTTTAAAATTTACAAAGAAAACGAAAAATGCCAAAAAAAACCGTTTTGGCTGTTTTTAGTTAGAACCCAGCTAAAACTTCATTTTTTTATTTTTGAAAACAATTTTTCTAAATGACAAAAAAAACGCGTTTTCAACAATCTCAAAATGGACAGTCAAAATACAGAACTCAAAATGAATTCAAAACTCAAAACTAAAAACTGAAATACGAAGAGAACGGCCCCTTACTTTTTTAACCTAAAGATAATACGAAATTATGATTGATAAAATGATAGATGGAGGAAAAGTGTGGCGATGGCTACAGGGAAGGTTTGAAAAGCTTAACATGTGGTACGACGAAAATAAAACAACAAAGTACATCACAAGGTATTAATGAAAATTAAATATTTTAACCAGCGGTTGAAAAACATACTCAGTCGCCAAAAAGCCATCCGTGAGTCCACCAATAAAAATAACTTGCTGTTTATAATCACCGGTCTTAAATGCAACCTGTAGAAAAGGAAAACAAAAAATATAACAAAAAATAGAAAAAGTTGGAGAATAAAAGGGAAATGTACAATGAGTATATTTAATAAACAAATTTTAACTATAAAGAATAATATGTTAAAATAGTAGGTAAATATATATTATATAGAGTATATAAAAGATTATTCCACTTCAGAGTTGAAATCTCAATTTCTAGTATACCTTCGCATATGAAAGTTTATAGAAAAACGTATTTAAGTTTTAACTGTTCAGTACTACTACTCAAACATACACATCGTGGTAATAATTAACTTGATGAATCTTGCGCTCTACAGGAATGTGGCACTGTCTAAATACCCATATGAAAGCACCAGTCTTATAATAGAATGAAGCGTTATATATTCTAATAGATTGTGAAGCTAAACTATTCGGCACTCGAGAGAGGGAATATGATTAATTTAGTGTTCTTGCTTATAAACTTAGGATAAAATGATAGAAGTAGCTATAAAATTTGAGAAATATTGTTGATAGTGAGGTGAAATCATTCCCTAGCCTTTCTCACTTCGATAAATCACTCGTATAACTTGCATTGATAGTTGAATTTGTCATCATATCTTTCTTTAGAATAGCATAAAAACATTGATTCAAGAATTTGATCGAGGCTGGGATAATTATAGTACTCAGTACGAATTAAATATCAATACATGTGGGTTCGATTCGATATCTTTACTTGATCTTATATTATAAAACTTGACACCGTACACTTGTGATATATTTATGCTATAGAAAATTAATCAAGAAATGGATTTCAACATTATACATGATTTTTTTAATTTTGTTAAAGTTTTTCCAATCAATCACAGATCATGACCAAAATTCCACAATCACTGTAGATAATTTGTAGGGTCTCTTCCAAGTTCATCACAATCTTAATGAAAACCCATCTGCATTTTCACTTGGTAAAGTCAGAAAAGAGTTTTAGAGCTTAGGAAGTTTTCATTGCTGAGTTAACACTGTTAAATTCTAAATTCACATTTACAGCAATCACTTGATTAAGATATAATCAGTGGCATGAAATATCAATCACCAAAAATTCAATTTCTTCCCCAAACCATGCGATGGGGCCTGCCTACTAGAAGATACTGCAACATCAAATACAAAATAATTACCATCTCCCATAATTATGAATTTTAAATAAAAGATTTAACCTTGTTTAACACCAACCTCGAGTTTTCTCACATGGTCACATACATAAATCCATTACTAGAAATTTAATCTCCATTCCAGGAAATGAAGCATGTACACGGCTATTTAATTTAGCCCATTGATGCTTTAAAAGATTTTGTGTTTTTTACTCCAAGAACTCAATTTTCATCGCAGGTGTAGAGACCCTTTACAAGAAATTGACACTCAAAACACATCTCATATAATTAGCACTAATTCTTCAAAAATGATTGAATCTTTTCAACCCCGGCCCCTGGCCCACGGCATCACTTTGCATAGACTGCAGATAACTTTCAAGAATTAGAATCAAATACATTCCTGAATATATGTAGTAAAAATTAGAACCCACAAAATTTTACAATGCCAATTCAAGAAATTATCAGTTGCTAAATAAAATCACTGAACCTTCTAATCCAAATACTCCAGATTTATATTATACTTTCCTCAATTTCAGCCCAAAATGTCAAAAAAAAAAAAAGAAATACGGTAAAAAGGGCGGACCTGGATTGGTTTGGGGCCGTACTTGAACATGACACCACGGAACTGACGTTTCTTGTTAATGGGTCCGCTTCCGCCGTTGAGACTGTCGCCAGCGGCGGCTGAGGAGGAGTTACTGGCCATCGTTACGCTGGCGGAGCGGCCGCGCACAAGGCCAGAGAGCCAGGAAGTGGTGGTAGATGCTGATGATGATGCGGCAGATGTAGAAACAGATGTATTCATTTCATAATTTTCAATGAAAATTCATTGAAGCCATTTCGAATTATTATCAATTATGAAAGCAGTTGCCAATTTGAATAATCAGTGCACATGCCCCTTTTTTTGGGTAACTCAAAATTATTATTGGTTTATATTTTTTTGGGACAATTTTTTTTAGAAGATCCCTTTCCATTTGGCAGAGAGTAATGTTAATTTTTTTTTATCAAGAATATTATTTTATGAAACATGAATTATATATATCTTTAGTAAAAGATTAATCGACCACCTTGAATTTCTATTTATCCAGTCGAGTATACACAAACACTACGTGCACTTGACTTGCCAATCTTTATAAACGTATTACTACTTTTGTTCGTACTTTGGAGTTCCATAAAATTAAGGGTGTAAAGTGGGACAAGTAGCATGTTCCACTTACGAGTCGAGCAGCAAAACATGTGTGAGCCGCTTGTCGTTGGCTCGCAAGCTTAATTTGTTTATTTTTTTAAAAAAAAAAGTGTGCAAAAAATATTTATTCGTATATAATTGTAGCTTCGTTTATGTATTTAAATAACATGGAAAATTCTTAAAAAAGAAATATTAAAAACGTATACATCTACAATATATTAAAAGAGTGGATTGATAAGAAACTTTTTGAATACGAATTTTACCCTTATATATTTTGATATATGTTATGGATTAATATGACTAGCATGATTAGTATGTAATTTTTATTCTAAATGTGTTTAGATAAGGTACTTTTTGTTTTTTGTTTTTACTTATTTAGGTAAAAAAAGTTTTAATTTACGGACAAAATGAATATTTTTTTTTTTTGAAAATCATTCATGTACCTTTAGTTTACTCATAAGTAAATATTTTAAATCATTCATCTCTTAACCGTTCTTCTTCGGATCTATCTGTATCACAAAGCTAGTCGATGTCGCTGTAATGGTTAAAAATAGGGTCCAACCAATATCTAGCATAAACTGATAAATCAAAGTTTAAAAACTCACTATTTCCATATAGTCCCCTTCAGATTATCTCCATTTTAAAACACAAAATGAATAAAAACCAGAAAGACATTTTTACTTTGGTCTTCCAAAAAAATTTCCTTATCCTTTTTTCTTTCATTTGATTTGGTAAAGAAAAAGTTCCTTGGGATATTGTGGAATGATTAGAATATAAAGGCCCACTTGAAAGTTATCTACACAAAACTTTGTTTTCACTTCTTGATGGACATAATTATTTGCCACGTAAAATTTTATAGTAGATTACCGTTGCTTTTAACCATATTAGCAAAAGTTAACATTATACATGACACTTAAACAGAGTGTGTCCAGAGACTACACATTCACGAATTAATTCTTAACTTAGTGATATAGAGGTCAATTAAGCCCGTTTGTCGTCTATTTTATCAAATATTGTTTGCTACAATAAATAATCTCCACCACATATTCACTCAATAAAATATTTTACACATGCTCCCCCCGTGGCACATAACAACTGGCGGAACAATGCACATAACTCGCTTCCAGCAGCAGCATGGGGTTTCGAATCCTGGTGGGAACCTGTGGCCATATTTATTTGGTATGGAGTAATCACTTTGGAGGTTGATCCCTTGTGTGCAGAAGTGTACAATTGATGAGGGGAACCAGTTGAGGTATATCCCGCGATTTACCTCCTCCAAGGTTGTAGAGGAAAGGGTCTTGCAGGTCCAGAATTTAGTCTGACTAAGTTGGGACACCTGTGTATCAAAAAAAAATAAAAATAAATAAATAAAATATTCCGTACACAAATCAATAAAATTACTTTACTTTTTAACCACACATTATTCAAAACTTTATTTCTTCTCCCAAAATGGGAGACAAACAATCATTAAACTCATTCCTTATGAAACGAAGTTCAAATTGGATTAAATTCTTAATTAAATGACTCGACAAACTCGAGTTGTCACTTCCTTCTATACTTATCTTTACAATTACATTTGTACAATTTAAAATTACTGAGTCAATCAAAATTCATATTGAATTTAGTTGCATGAAAGCTTATTTGGTTAGATTCATTCTTCTCGTAACTTAACAAGCGATTCATAGCTATTCTTTCTTACACACTTCTCAAATATTTGAAAAGAGTTCAAATTAATAAAATTTCTGCAAGTATTTATCCTGAACTTTGTCGCACAAACTAGTTGAACGTCCTTAAATTGTTACCTGGCAAAGTTAAAAAAAATGACATTCAAAACTTTTATTATTACACAAGAATTTTCAAATAGACAAGATTGGTTGTAAAATATCAAAGATTCCAATTCAAAAAAAAAATCTAGCATTTATCGTCGACCAGCTAACCAAAAACCCAAAAATAGTAAAATACTGATTTCCCTGTTTCGGACATAAGCTGCAGCTAGAGAAAAATGTCGTGCTTGGCATCATGCTGTGCGTCCCCAACGTGCGGTCTCTGCACATCGGTGGCCTCCGGCATCACTAAACGCTCTGCAAGGATCGCCTACTGTGGCCTTTTTGGTGTCTCCTTGATTCTATCTTGGATTCTCCGAGAAGTCGCCACTCCTCTTCTTAAACACTTTTCATGTAAGACTGAAAATCGATTCTTATTCGAATTCTTATATATGCCCAATTGGGTTTTGATTAATTTTTAGCTGTCTTGTGTTTATGAGTTCTGAGATTTATGGTAAAATTGGTAATGCTATGAGCTTCTTAAGAAGTTGTAAAATGGGTTTCAGTTTATATATTGGCGTCTCTTTGATTCTATCTTGGATTCTGAGGTAAGTCGCTACTACTCTTCTCAAACATTTTTCAGGTAAGACTCTGAAGATTGATTGTTTATTCAAATTCAGAGATATACCCAATTATGTGTTCTGAGATTTATGGTAACATCAGTTCCGTTATGAGCTTCTCGAGAAGTTGTGAGATGGATTTAATTTAGTATTTTTGTTCAACATCTCATGTAAGACACTGAAAATTGATTCTTTATTTGAATTCCTAGATATGCCCAATTCGGTTTTGATCAATTTTTAGCTGTCTTGTATTTATGTGTTGTGAGATTTATGGATTAATTGTTTCTGTAATGAGATTCTTGAGAAGTTGTGAATGGATTTAGTTCAATATTTTGTTAACTTTCTTCAATCTTTTGCATTGGATTCCATTTTCTGCACATATTGTCCCATTTTCGGGGATGATTCAATTCTTCTTAGCTCGATTAAGGTTCCTTTGATCTAGAAAGCACATCATTGAAGACTTTTCGAAGTGTGGATCCCAATAAAGAATAGAATCTATTGATCTCAAAATTGGTCTAATCAAGCGGCCTACAAATCCCGACCACCTCCCCTTCGACCTAAAGGTCACCTTCACAATGAAACACACTGTTAGAGGGCAAAGACCATCGTTCTAGAAAAAGTCTTGCGACCGTTTGCACTTCGACGGTCAAATCAACCACCGGATCAAGAAATTGATTAGTGCAAGAGAGATAAGTAAAAGGGGATATGGCTACGTTTAGATAAACATAGCTTTTGAGTGCCAATCACTAGCATAAAGATAGAGAAGGATATGGGTGGACCAAGATGGGTTAATGGACTAGGTCCAAGCTCATGCCCAAGAGGAGATTGCTTGATTTGATATGTTCCGGTCCAATTGGCATTGCTGTTGCCCCATCAACTATGGGATCCCGTGCTATGTGTATCTGAATAGTACACCTATGGGGGTCAGACTTTGACGTATAAGTTGTCTTCAATTGGGTGAGGGCTTATGGATTGGCTCAGGAATATGAGATGATCCTAAATAAGTGAAGGCTTACGATTTTCTACTAAATACGAGCCGATCGCAAATAAGTGAGGGCTTGTGAATGGCTTCACAAATATCAAAAGGTAAGGGTATACGAATTGCCTCTAAAAATAATACAGTAAGATATTCCAAAATTTTACAGCATCTCCAGAGTAATGTGGAGTAAACCAATATAAAAACAAAATCTTCACTACACAAATACAAAATAAATTGGGGCCCATTTGTCCCCTCAAAATACTCGTGACTATAAATTGAAATAATAGATAAAACTTCTTCAAAATATAATATGCAGAGAGTCCATCAAGCTATATGACCACGTATCATTGCAAATAATATGCTTGCACCAACTTAGAGTAACGTTATTGCTTTGTGAAACAAGTAACATGTTGTCGATAATAAAATGATAATGTAGACAATGTAGCATGCATGTTGGCAATAATGAAAATAGGATTATGACATGCTAGAAGTAATAATAGTTCCCCCAGTTCAGCCTATCATTTATGTTAGGCATTGGACTTGTAAGAGGAATAGATTGAACAACCATCTCGCAAAGCGAGAAATAAATAGAACAATCATTTTGCAAAGTGAGGCATAAGTTGAACTACTATCTCGCAAAGAAAGAAATAAATAGAACAATCATCTTGAGAATCTCATGAAGCGAGGTATACCAAGATGTCTTTGATGGATGCTATAGTTAGTGGATGGTACCCTTTTGTAATATTGGTTAGCCCTATGTTGATATATCTTCAAATCAGGCAATATGTTAAGGATGACACCCCCTCCAATAGGTGAGTAGCTCCCATATGCTGACGTGTCTTCAAATGAGGCAATAGGTTAAGGATGACACCCCCTTCTAATAGGTGGGTAGCTTCCCTATGCCAATATGTCATCAATGAGGAAATAGAGTGCCAATCATTCTTGTATATATAGAAAAGGATATAGGTAAGCCAAGATGGGTTAGTTCATGGGCCCGAGCCCAATAAGAGGATGCTTGATTTTATCTGGCCCAATCCAATTTGATCCTCCACATGCATGCCACATAATTCATTGGTATTATAGAATCATTGTAGAAGGAAGTTAAGTTGCGAATCGGAACCACAACTGGAGTCGGATTAAGCCTTTAATGTATGTCTGACTTTGAGGCACATGCAAAGATTACTTTTTTGTGTGTTTCTTTAGAATTTGTTAATTTGGATGATAATAAGGGAAAAAAAATTTGACCCCTTTCTTTTTATTATGGTTTTATGTTCTTGGATATATGAGAAACGAACAAGGGTTAGGCATTCACGTGGATATTGATATGGACAGATTTCAAAGAAGAATAAGCTTACGCCTTTCTTACCTATACAAACCTGTAAAGATCTAGATTGACTTCATCAGCATTGTATTTCATTATGAATATTGACTTTAGTGAGGAGCTTATGGTAACTACTTAATTATGGAGAGCTACCTGTTTTGAGAATGAAAGCAATTACCTGAAATCTTATGCAAACGATGAAAAGATCAGATGAATTTTGAAGTTCTTCTGAAGCAAGCAATTGCTTTAAGTAGCCAGTTTATTTCTTTTCATAATCGCACCTGTCATTTAACTCATTTCATACAAGTATTTTCTGGAGTGAGACTCGCTCTTTCTTTTGAGTGCCCAACTTTTGGCTCTTGGGTTGCCTGATACTTGCACAAATCAACTGTTTATGGTTAAGAATCTTTTGATCCTCTTATGGTTGAAGTTTTAGTTTAAGAGTTTTTTTTCCATTTATTTCTGAGTTCAAGTGTTTATGGAACAATTAGTTTAAGATAACCCTAGTAGTTCTCCTATGAATTGGTTTTCGACTATAAACGTGAATAACTTTTTATTCTCTACCATACATGATACACATATTTCTGTATAATTTGTTAACCAATGTGATTATCCATTTAAGTCAAAATTTCAATGGAGTTTTCTTTTAACAAAATCCTCATAAATGCATCAGTTACTTCTGACAAGGCTATGTCATGAATTTTTTTACAGGGATAAACACTTTTGACAACCTCCCAAAGGAATACTTTCAAGGGTTTTTCCATTTGTACCGAAAATTAATGTCAACGAGTTTGACAACCTCTCACATGCGTGCGGGCCCCGCGTGAATAAAAAATTCCAAAAAAATGTGGGCCCTCCCCCTATTGTGAGTGTTCAATCAAAGTGTTTGTCAACCATTTTTGGTAAGTGTAGCATTGCTCTATTTTCAAATACGTACATGCGGTACTTCGTGTCAGTTTGGGAAATTTCTTATTTTTTGGAATACTTGCCCTCATAATGATTGGATTCAAGGATCAAAATGACAGACGCGATTCATGGCATCATGGTGGATGGATCCCTAAGATGCTGATTTGGGCTTTGCTCACCATCCTCATGTTTTTCCTTCCTAATGTCATCACAACAATTTATGGTCAGTTTTATATCCTTAATTGACTATTTTTTAGCATCCTTTTGATGGACCAATCATTTAAAAATATATATATGTGTTTCCTATATGCCTGTGGCCACGTTGATATGCATTCTGGTAGAGTTAACAATGGAGCGTTCATATTTTTCCTCGTAGCGTCAGTTGAAATGAGTTAAGAACTTAATTTCCAGTGGAGTTACCTGACTCGTTTTCTTCCTCTCAAGCTTGGTGTTGATTAAGTGTTTTAGAACCTTTTTTCCATTTTCGTTTTGTTGTCCTTAACGAGTCAAACTCGTTTTGATTGAGTAATGCAATTTTTTTTTTGTGTTCTGTTAATCACTTCAAACAAGTAACTCTAGTGGCTCATTAGAAATGGTCTTAAGCTGCCAAAATTATTATGATCTGTTCTTTTTGGGATTTATCAGCACTTCACCTATGACATCCCATCCCTAGTTGTCCAACTTGACTGTGAATAATATCTAGTAATTTACTTTAGCAATCTTACCTCTGGAGCATGTTCAACGGACAAAATCTCTACCGGGACAATTTATTTGGTGGGACATTTTTATGATCTTGCTCGTTTATTGCTTGGCTTGACCTGAAGCCATTAATTAATCACAATGCTGCCTTTTGTTTTAGGGATGGCAAAATTCCAAGCCTCCACATTGCCCTGCCCAGAATGGTAAACGGGGCGGGAAGGGACTGGGATCATGGTCCCTGCCTAGAATCTTTTTATTTTATTTTTATGTTGTTCAATTTTAATCTTATTTTAAAAAGTACATATAATATTAAAAGTCATTAATTAATTAACAGTGCAATACGGTGGAAAATTTAATTCCCACCTCACTTCTGTCTCGTTGCCATTCCTAATTTGTTTTAGCTTTTAAGTTGCTATGAAAGAACTAAATACTAAAGACTAAATTTAAATTAATAAAGTTTCACATCTCAAACAGTTTAAACTTTTAGATGATTTGGTTTTAACATGGTATTAGAGCAAGTATTATTCAACTTTCATCGTCATTCATTTATGAATATTGAGCAGGTGTCAGGCGTTTTGTAAAAAAAGAATCCAGCTATCATGAGGGGGCCGGTTAAAAACTAAATATAAATAAATGAATATGTCTCCTTTCTCACAACTCAAGCTTTTGCCTCTTACAACTTATTGTGTACTCAGGAATCCTTTCTAAGTTTGGGGCAGGGTTATTCTTACTGGTCCAAGTCATAATGTTGTTAGTCGCTACACATTCATGAAATGATTCATGGGTTGCTAAAGATGAGCAAAAGTGGTAGGTTCAAAGTTATTACTCATTCTTTTAATGCTCAACCTAGTTCTCAATTTTTTCATAATCTTGTCTCTGATATTGTTCTCGGGTATGTTGCCCTGCTGGTTGTATCAATAGTGTGTTACCTAGCAGCGTTTACATTTTCGGGAATTTTATTCTTTAGGTTTAATCCATCTGGTCACGACTGTGGTCTTAATATCTTTTTCATTGTGATGACCATTGTTCTTGCTTTTGCTTTCGCCGTTGTTGCGTTACTCCCTAAGGTGAGTAACTTTCTTTTCAACTGATAAGGTTGTAGTCTAAATTTAATTAAGGCCGTATTTCGCCTTATGTTATTGGGAATCGGGAAATCAGAAGTAGAGTTCTTGGAAAATAAACTGAAATTTGAATGGAAAGTATTCTAATTCCACTTTTTAAGCCCCATATACTACCGAGGGCAGCTATGCTAAGCCTAAATTTTTTACTTATTTTAGTAAATAAGTAGGCTGAAAACAAGTGAGTTGGTTATTTGGATAGTAAATCAAAAGTTACCTCCAAAATAAGTAACTTTTTCACTTGAGGAGTGTTTAAAAAATGTAGCTTACACAACATGTTTGGAAATAAAAAAGTTGCTTACAATAAACTCTTACTTTAGCCAAACATAATCCTTCATATCACCACACACTTAGAATTGAAATGTTAAATAAAAGAATTGATTTTGTAAAATTCTTCTTGTGTTCTAATAAGTGAAACGGGGTTTATTTAACTCATAATCTGAGATGTTCGGTCAACAACAGGTAAATGGCAGCCTCTTGCCTGCTTCTGTGGTATCAGTTTATTGTGCTTATCTTTGTTATACTGGTCTCTCGAGTGAGCCTCGAGGTTAGGAGTGCAATGGTCTTCACAAGAAGTTGAAAGCTGTATCCACGAGTACCCTTGTTCTCGGGATGCTTACAACAGTTCTATCTGTTTTATATTCTGCACTCCGTGCTGGATCTTCAACAACCTTTTTATCCCCTCCGTCTTCACCCTGAGCAGGTATTTTAAACTGATCCAAAACCTTTTTCAGTAGTTCTTGATTTTGTAATCATTTTCTCTAAATCTCTTGGAATTTTGAGTAAATGTCTGGTCTTACATACCAATGCTCTCGCCTTGTATCAGTGTAACAGTAATGGCAAATAAACTTTCTGGGTACTCGTAATTTTGGTGGACCAAAACTGTGGGTCTCGTAGCTTATAAGCAACACAATTTGTGGGTATCCAGCTTATAAGATATCAACATTTTTTTTTTGGCCAAAGTGCTCATAATCTTATCCATTGTACAGTCAATGTCCTATATTGTACACCAAACATGCCCTACGTGTTTGAATATTTATTGCAGCTTGAGTCCCGACCTTAAAAATTTTTCATTGCAGGTGGGACGACACCTCTTCTACAATCAGATGACCCAGAATTGGGAAAAGGAAACAAAGAAGCCGAAGCACGACCTGTTAGTTACTCGTACACCTTCTTCCATTTGAAATTTGCTCTGGCCAGCATGTACTCGGCCATGCTTCTTTCGGGATGGATCAGTAGTGATGAGAGCTCGGAGTACATTGATGTCGGGTGGACATCAGTTTGGGTTCGAATCTGCACTGAATGGATCACTGCTGCATTGTATGCTTGGTCGCTCATGGCACCATTGATCTTCCCCGATCGTGAATTTTACTAAAAAATTTTCATCTCTGATGAAAATAAGGTTCTTGTAACTGTTAATATCTGTTTGTACCCATATGTGATGTTATAGCAGTATAAATAAGTTTATGTAAAACTTTAGAATTTGGTTGATTAATGTATTGTCCTGTATATAGATGTCTTATGAAATTGATCCGAGCTTTTTGACGGCATGTTTGGCGAGAGGATTGAATAGTACTTTATAGTAATGAAAACGATAGGGAAGTTAAAATTCTATTCAATATACTCTCGAGTAATGGCTGAGCCAAAACATGCAGATAAAATTTCTATTTTTATTTTACTTTAAAAATGATGTCTTAGTAAATTTTACTATATAAATTGATCGGTTTTGCTACTGGTACATCAAGATGTACATAGGGATGTACATCCCGCTTACATGGGGGTATGACTCACTTGAATAAAAAAATATTTTATACAAGTGGGTCCCATCTCATGTGAGGAGAGTGTACATCTTTATGTACAATTCTTGATGTACAAATAGAATTATTCTAAATCGAATTAACAAATAAAATTGAGTTTCATAACAAAAATTGTATCACAAGAAAAAAGAAAAGAAAAAAAAGTATTTAAACACAACAAAAAAAAAAGTTGAATAAATCTTAATTGTTGCTAAATTGTTAAGTGAAAAAAAAAGAAGAAAAAGACAAGTTAGTTGAAGAAAGAAACATAAAATTACGAATGAATGATACCTAACGTACGCGCCCCCTCCCAACCAGCTACAGTTGGCTAACATGCGCCCCTCTCCCATTTTTCACTTTTCCACCCGCAAAAAAACAAGAAACCCCCCACCCGATGACCCGAAAAACCCCCATATCAACCGATCCCCCTCTCCCCCTCCCCTTTTCACTAACATGCGCCATCTCCTCCTCACAATGGCCCCTTCTTACCAGAAAAAACCCACCACCGCAAAACCCAGTTCCGCCACCCCCGCCAACGCCAACCACCAAGTCCACCACCATGCAAATACCCCAAATTGCCCTTCCCTCTGCAGGCACTCCCCTTCAGCCACCCTTGACATCCTTATTTTCATCATTGTTCTCTTTTCTGGGACCTTTCTTATTATCTCCTACTTCTCTTATATCTTCCAGGCGTTTTCCCTCCTCCTCCCCCCCTTTTCCGCCCTTGTTTCTCAGCTTTACTATCATATATCATCTGATGCCCAATCTCAGTACATCTTTTTCGGGTTATTTTTGCTTTCTTTTCTTGTATTTGTCGTGTTTTTCGAGATCTGTTGTGGGTTCAGATCGAGGAGATGCGGGAAGATTGGGTGTAAAGGATTGAAGAAGGCCATGGAGTTTGACTTGCAGTTACAGGGAGAGGAGTTGTTGCGGTCGGAGAATAAGGCAGTTAGGGATGTCAATGAATTGCCATGGAAGGGTGATTGCGAGGATAATCCGGATTATGAATGCCTCCGTGCGGAGTTGAGGAAGATGTCCCCAAACAATGGACGTGCAGTCTTGCTTTTCCGTGCGAAATGTGGGTGCCCGGTTGCCAAACTGGAAGGATGGGGACCTAAGCGTGGTCGGCGCCACAAGAAGTGAGCAAAGTTCTTATTGAATGTTGTTTTTCATTGCAAATAAATTAATCTTTTCTGGTTCATGGACTTTTGTTATGATTGAATCTTATATAAGATATGGATGGAATTTGAGTGTGATAAATTTGAATGTGAAATCGAAACAAGAATGAATATGTTTTTTATTGATTAAGGAAAAAGCTCAGAGCACCTAGTGAAGAGTTATAGAGGATGATAGAAAGAAAATCAATTTCAAGATATAGATATTTTTGCCTCGGAACTTGGTTTTGCTTGGGGTAGAGATAGGAACTGGTATCAGGATAAAGTCGTCCATTGTATTCTCAAACCAGTCATTCTTAAAGAAGACAAGGTGGTTCTAACAAACTTTGTCATTTTGTTGCGTTGTTATAACGTCAAAAGGCTGAACATAGGTGGAAAAGTTGAGTTTGAATATGAGGAAATCATTTTCTTTTAAGAAATACTGAAGGTATTTAAGCAATGGAAGCGAGTTCTGATGATGGAATTAGGATAAAAGGGGAAATAAGCCATAAATAATACTTATGTATGTTTTTGTTCTCTATTGTCTTAATCGTAAGTGTAGAATATTTTTCTGGCTGTTAAACACTAAGTCACGTCAATAGTACAGTTTTGGAGGAAGAATTGTTGAGAATACATGAGTAATAGCGTGGATAAATTTCAAATGAAACTTTAGTTATCTGGTTGACAGTATACATAACTTGTTTTGATAAGCCATAGTTCGATTAAATTGTTAGACACGTTTGATCACCAACTCAACAAAGATCTGCTGCGATCATGTTGACAAGTTCCAATTTGATAAAGCAAGAGATGCAATGATTACTGTAGTAACTGTGACACAATTATGAAGAAAATATGAATGAAGAAAATTTCAAACAACATATTTGCATTAAGAGTTGAAGTGTTGCATTATATAACTGAATGTCCTGCTGCTGATATCACTTAACACGTTAAATGCGTGGCACAACTTGGAACTGCTCCATAGGGACAGCCAGTTTGCATTTATTTATTTAGCCTATTTATGTAGATTGCTTTCTTTATTGTAATGCCATAATGCTATTATTTTTAAACGCAATTATATTGTGTAACACGTGCACTATTTATAGGTTAGTAAGTAGAGAATTTACTGAATTATTTGGTTCATCACTTGCTGACATTGACTGCTTATCGTTTTGGGGGCATGCTATAGTTCGAAAGTAGTATTTAAGAAAGGTTTGATTGCATAATATGTATTTCTATGAATGCTATGTGTTGATTACAGAAAATCATGTGACGTGTTGTTTTTTGTGATTAAACTTCAAACTTATTTGCCAATTTTTTCCATTTCACTGAACTATGACTGACACCTTCTACTTTTTGTTGCCCTCTCCATTTTACAGGTTTCTTGTAGAGAATTGCTGACTTTCCTTTCTTCTTTAATTATTAAAATATTTCATAGCATTATTTCTTTTTTCCCTTTTCCTTGCAAAGAAGTTTCACGATGATTGAGAAAATAATGTTTCTTCGCCAATCAAATTAAGTTTTATGTTTGCATATTAGCACAGCGATTTAGTTTTCTACCAAGGATGTTTAGTTGTTCTAGTTGAAATATATATTAATCTTTGTTACCAACTTGTAGTCTTTGTTAGACTTTAGGGACTAAAGTGTAATTTTTTCCTTTTTCCTTTTTCCTTTTTCCATCATGTATACTCGTTGGTTTTACTTCAATCAATATACAAAAATATTTTCTCCCAAATCTACTTGGTATCAGAGCCAGGTTCGAACCTTGCCGGAGCCGATTCCGCCTCTCCCTCCGGTTACCCACACGCCGACGACCTCCACAACCGCCGGCTGCGTCGCGTCCGTCTCTGCGTCTGCCAATCGAAGCTAGGGCTTCTGGAACTTGTCCTCTTTCGGTTATTTCCGGCGATTTCTACTCTGGTCGACCTCGCCACTCGCCGGTTGGGTACTGTTCGAGCTCTGCCCCTTTTTTTTTCTTGTTTTGCTTGGTGTCTTCCTTCCTCTTCCTTATTTGAGTGTGAGCCAGAACCGAATAACAGATGCATATCTCTTCGTCTTCTCTGATTCCTGCGAGTTCTTCAAGAGTTTAGCTTCTGGTCTGGTGAGCTATGCTGCTCATCTCAAGCCTTCTGGTAATATGGAGCTTCCAGAGTGGACTGGATAATATTACTGGGAACCACAAGTAAGGTTTGGATTGGGTCAAGAAATCGAGTGGTTTGTTTTGCTTGTTGTTGGTTTAAAATTGAGCCCGGATTGTACAATTGAAGATCTCGAGGTGTTAATTTCTGCTAGAATTGGGATTACTTTGTTGTGAAGATACCTTGTTACGTTGGTAATCTATTCTTGAAAGAATGGCTTCCCACATTGCTGGTTCATCTCTCGGGGGAGGTACCTTTGGGTTGCACTCTACTTCTACTGCATCTGATTGCTGGGTTATAGATTCTGGACCTACCGATCATTTTACCTGTAATTCCTCCACATTCGATTCCTTGACAACTCCGCTTGTTCAGTCTGTTCAAGTGGCGAATGGGACTCCTGTTAAAGTTACCGGGGCCGGAAGCGTCTCGTTTTCACCTACTTTTTCTCTCTCATCCGTTTTACTTGCACCCACGTTTTCCACTAATCTCTTATCTATTAGTAAAATTACAAAGCACCTTGATTGCTCTGTCATCTTCTCACCTACCGATTGTGTATTTTAGGACAATCGAACGAAGATGACGATTGGCACTGGTAGAGAGATAGGAGGGTTGTATTTTCTAGAGGGAACAAGGCGGTTGATTAGTAAATCCTCTCCAAGAGATAGGATCCTTTTGCGGCATTGTCGATTAGGTCATCTTTCATTTACTTACTTAGAACACTTGTTTCCATGGCTATTTAAAAACATTTCTAGTTCTAGTATGCGGTGTGAACAATGTATTTTTGCCAAAACTCATCGTGTACCTTTCAAAGTCAGTTTCAATAAAAGTTCTGTTCCTTTTACTTGTGTTCATACTGATGTTTGGGGGCCTTTCTCTATTCCATCTCCTACAGGTCATAAGTATTTTGTCTCCTTCATTGATGATTGTACCAGAGTTTGTTGGATATATTTGTTAAAATCTAAGGGTGAAGTCATTCATGTTATCCAAAATTCTTTAAAATGATTGAGACACAATTTCATACACGGGTTAAAGTTATTCATTCTGACAATGGTCGTGAGTTTGTAAGCCAAACCCTTGAAAACTTCTTCTCGACTCACGGCATTCTCCATCAGACCACTTGTGCTTACAGACCCCAACAAAATGGCATAGCAGAGCGAAAAAATCGACACATTCTTGAAGTAGCTCGAGTTTTATGTTTCACCATGCGTGTTCCAAAACGTTTTTGGGCCGAGGCGGTGACAACTGCCGTCTTTCTCATAAATCGCATGCCTGCTCGCATCATTAACTTTCAAACTCCTTTAAGAATGTTGTCTAAGTTTCATTCTATTCCCTCTGCTTTAAATATCTGTCCCAAAATTTTTGGTTGTGTGTGTTATGTTCACGTGCATTCTCATCTCAGAGATAAATTTGATCCTCGTGCCCTGAAATGTGTCTTCCTTGGCTACTCCAGCTCCCAGAAGGGCTACAAATGTTTTCATCCCCCTACGGGAAAATACTATGTTTCTATGGATGTAGAATTTTGCGAGTCAAAGTCCTTTTTTTCTGATGATGTTTCGTTGGTTCCTCTTCAGGGGGAGACTAGTAGTAAGGAAGAGGAACGAGTGTGGTTAGAGGAAAAGAAAGTGTGGATTTCTGGAGTTGAGGGGGAATCCCAAAATGAATCTGGAGTTGAGGGGGAATCCCAAGTTGAATTCCAAAATGAATCTCGAGTTGAGGGTGATAGATCACCTCGTTTGTTCCAAAAGTGTTATACAAGAAAAAACCTAGACAATGCTTGTAATCCTGTATTAGCCAATTCTGATCATGATAACCCTCTTGTTGATTCTACAGTGCCATCTGATTCTTCGGAGATTGAAAATGAGGTACCTCTTATCCCTTCTACTCCTATATCTGTTTCTGATTTTAATCCTGCAGCTTTAGATATGGTTGATACTCGGGATAGGAGATATCCTCTTCGAGTCCATAATAAGCCTGATAGGTTTGGTTTTTCGAAATCTTCTTCCAATGCTATCTTTCCCATCTCTGATTATATTTCGTACCACCGTTTATCTAAGACTAATTTGGCGTTTGCCCTCCAATTATCTTCTGTATCTATCCCTAATCACTTTCAGGAAGCTCTTGATAAACCTAAGTGGAAATCCGCTATGGTAGAAGAAATGAATGCTCTCCAAAGGAACTCTACTTGGGAGATGGTCTTATTACCACCAGGGAAAAAGACTGTGGGATGCAAGTGGGTGTACTCATTGAAATATAAGTCAGATGGAACTGTGGATAGGTATAAAGCTAGATTGGTTGCCAAAGGGTACACACAGACTTATGGGATTGACTATCAGGAAACTTTTGCTCCAGTAGCTAAGATGAATACCGTTAGAGTCATCATATCTCTAGCAGTCAATCTCGATTGGCCATTAAGGCAATTTGATGTTAAAAATGCATTTCTTCACGGTGATCTGACAGAGGAAGTGTATATGGATCCTCCTCCCGGTTTCACTCCTCCAGGGGATAATGTGTGTAAGCTGAAGAAAGCCTTGTATGGGCTAAAACAATCTCCAAGGGCGTGGTTTGGAAGATTGAGTTGTTCAATGAAAGAGTATGGCTTTAAACAAGCCTTGACTGATTATACTCTATTTTATAAGAGAGATGGTCATGATATTACTATGCTCATTGTGTATGTGGATGATATGATTGTTACTGGTAGTAATCCTCGTGAGATTGAGAAGCTCCGAAGCCATTTGACAAAGGAGTTCGAAATGAAGGACTTGGGTACATTGAAGTATTTCTTGGGCATTGAGGTATCACGGTCCCAGCAAGGACTTATTCTATCTCAACGCAAGTACGTTCTTGATCTTCTAGCAGAAACTGGTATGTCGGCTTGTGTTCCTGTTGACACACCCATTGAGGTAAATCATGGTCTATCTATTTATCCTGATCAGATTCCCGCAAACAAAGAGAGATACCAAAGATTGGTGGGGAAGTTGATTTATCTAACTCACACGAGACCTGATTTGTCATATGCAGTTAGTGTTGTGAGTCAATTCATGCATAACCCCAGTGAGCAACATATGAGTGCAGTTAATCGGATATTGGCATATCTAAAGTCCTCTCCAGGCAAGGGCATTCTCTACTCAAAAGGGGGGCACTTGGATATTGTGGGTTACACGGATTCCGATTTTGCTGGATCGAGACTGGACAGGAAATCTACATCAGGATATGTATCTTTTGTTGGAGGTAATCTTGTGACTTGGAGGAGTAAGAAACAAAATGTGGTCTCACTATCCAGTGCTGAGGCGGAATATCGAGCATTACATCATGCAACTACCGAGCTTACATGGCTAAAACTTCTCCTTAGTGAACTTGGCTTTGGTCCGGACAAGCCTATGTTACTTTTTTGTGACAACACTGCTGCTATTAAAATTGCAAACAACCCTGTGCAACATGATAGAACAAAATATGTTGAACTTGATAGGAACTACATCAAAGATAATCTCGATTCCAAAAATATAGAGATTCCATACATCAAGAGGGCCGAACAACTAGCTGATATAATGACACATGGAGTTGCTAGTGGTCCATTCTATACAATGACATCCAAGTTGGGCATGCGTGATATCTATGCACCAACTTGAGGGGGAGAGTTGAAATATATATTAATTTTTGTTACCAACTTGTAGTCTTTGTTAGACTTTAGGGACTAAAGTGTAATTTTTTCCTCTTTCCTTTTTCCATCATGTATACTCGTTGGTTTCACTTCAATCAATATACAAAAATATTTTCTCCCAAATCTACTGTTCTCAAGGATATTTAGGATTTATTTACTTTGCCTTCGTTTTGCTATTTTGTAAATGATTTATAAATCAGTCATAAATGCTCCTTTTATTTTCAACCACACAAGAACTATCCACTTATCCTGAACACATTTCTATCTATTTATTAATTAAACCATTTATAAAGAGGCTAATTTATTGACTAAATCTTTTCATATCCTATGGGACAGAGTTAGGATCATTTTTTTTTAATGCATGTAGATTTGCCACTTATTAAAAGAAACAGGCATTTTTATACCTGATGAACTTGAAATCTTTCTCAACTTCACCTGGCTAGGTAGTGCTTTGACACTCAAAGCAATGTTTTCACTTGGGACTACTCGTTGAACACTTAGGCCTACTAGTTTTAAGGTCAAAGGTCATTAGCCTGATGTCATAATTTCAATTCATTCCCAGAATAATAATGATAGTGAAACATGGTGAAAAATTGGGGAGAAGACCCCATAACACCCACAGAGACCAGCTGTTTCAAGGGTAACATTTCGTATCAAAATGCTAGATGCATCCTCCCAAACATGAAATGGGGAGAAGTTGATAAGGGGTGAAAACAAAAGAAATTTTATGAAGCAAATCCAAATGAAGATGGAATTCACCTTCAAACTCAAATTATACACACATCTCTTTAAGTTTTAGCTCTCAACTCCTGCTCACGAAAACACATAATGAATCGCTGATAGCACCTCCAATACCTTTAAAGAGCCCTTTTGAAGTAGAGAATCTCTTCATGTTCCTATTGATCCACAATTTGATCTTCAATTTCTCAAAGACCATCTTCTATTTCTATCAAATTTTGAGCCCTAAACAGTTGAAGGCAGACAAGTTGAAAAGTTCATCACTCTTTAATCAGCCACGTCCTTCGGAGTTATCACTATGTTTTTGTTGCCAAGCGGGTGTCCTGTGCAGATGACAAATAAGAAGTGGAGGCCGGAGGGTATGAGGAGAGGAAGTAAAAAATGAGAGGGGGAATGCTGTTGACTGCATTTCTGGTTTGGATTTTTTAGGTGGGCTTGTGGGGGGTGATTTCAGGTATAGGAGAAAAATTCGCACTGGTGTTTTTCCGGTTCACTCTCTACTGTCATCAGTTGCACACTTCTGTAAAGATTTTATAGTTTTATGAAGCAAACTGGACCAGACGGGTGTCAGGATCCCTGTTGAACTGGAAAATTTTTCTGTCGTTAATAACATGTGACTAAGAGATGCATTTGGATTGAGAGCTACATCTAGATATCCTTTTTAAGTTCCTGGCATCTTATTTTCCTTCTTCTTTCTTCTCTTTTCAATGGTTATTTCTCGAATAAGATAAATGTAGCAATTTCTATACACGGATAACTTTAAAATGTATCTTAGACTATTACTGGCATTGAACTTCATATGGAAAACCTGAAACTTGTTTGCATTGAGGCCATCGTTTGTGCTTTCCCCTTTGCTTTTGGGGGTGGGGGGGTGGGGTGGGGTTGGGGGGTTAGTGAAAGAGGAGGTTAGAAATACGTTGTATATTTGATGCAGCCACATATGAAATTATGAATTATTTTGGCAGTTTTAGATTTAAATGTTTTATGGTAATTTTGAATTTTTCCTTTGATTACGGCTTTGCTTATGGTAATCTTTCATTTACTATCTTAGATTAGGATTTCTACTATGGTTTTTTTTTTTATTTCTTTATAGAATAGGATTCTATTGCATTTTATAAATAAGACCAGTCGGGTTGTCTGAAAAGAAGGACTTATGAAATGAAAATTTGAGTTTCTTAATTATATGTCCAATTATTGGTATTTTATATGAATCCAAATTCTCGGTATCGTGTACAAATCAATGTGTCTTTGATGCATAGTTTTTTGTTATTTTATTCATGAGCGAATCAACATGAACTAAAAGGTTGTTCTTGAACTCGATGTTTAAGGCTTCTGTATGCATTACCCTACATCATATGTACTATAAAAGCAAGCACCTTCGCTAAAGTAATACTTCTAGGCTTCTGTGCAGTACATAGTTGTTGCCTCATTAAATTCTTTGCACCTTTCTAGAAAATACAGCAAATGTCAGTCAAATGTTTACTGAATTCCTTTGGTAGCTTGTTGTCATTAAGGAGGAATATGGTCCAATTTCCGTACTTTCCCTTAAGTTCTCTTTCCATTAACCACTTCTTGGATTGTCCATTGCAGTTTGTGTTTCCAAACATTATATGGCAAACTTTGAACTGGATAAAACTAATGAAAGCCTCCTTGCCTCTTGTTTTCTTGTTAAGAAAAGGTTCCTGCCACCATGAACCTGCTTTCTATTATTGTTTTGGGGTAAATGCATAAACTTTCTCATTATTTTTAATGGCTTCTGATATCTGTTAATTTAGCAAGTCATGACTTGGGTGTCTATGGTTATTATCAATGAAAATTTGGTTGTGTTTGAGAACTTTATTAACAGCTGTAAAACGTCAAACTCTAATTCCTAAAACATCAATATTTTATCAACTTGTTGTGCTTGGAACATGGTAGATTTGAGTTTTAAGTTATTTTGTTCTTAAATATCATGCAAATCTAACATGTGAATGAATTGCCATATGGACCAGGAGAGCTGACAATTTTCGCAAATAAATGAACGATGAACAAGAAACAGAGTGAGCTACTTAGTTGTATGCTCATTACCTAAAGAAATGGGAAACAACAGAAAGAAAACATGAGAATGGATTTGGTCAAGCCTAGAGTGAGGGGTTTTTATGACGATTTTGCATATTTACAGCCAGAATCATATCATTCTATCAAAAATATTGGCAAAACTTACACTGAACACACTTTTTTCCGATCATATGCTTAAAGCATGGAAGATTATAACATAACTTTCTTTAGAGCTTGCTTATATGTTTGTTTTCAGGCACTGATGTTTGAATCGACAATGTGCTCATTTTGCTTCTCCTTGCATAGTTTCCCAATTCCTACGTGTATTTAAATTATGTTTTTTTAATCATTTTTATTATTCTTGCTTTTATGGAAAATATATGACTTATTTTATCTGACGTGATGACCAGGAGTCTCGCTCTTACTGGCGGAGGAGACAATCGCTGACTGTTCGTGGTGGTTTCATTCGGGCCTCATTGATTTTTTCTTCTTTTGCTATACCCTTTTTCCATTTTGCTCTACAGGACTTGTACTGTTGATGGGAAACAATATTTTAGAATTTCAATGAGAGTCCTAAAGAAACTTAATTATGTCCACACTCTCGTGGAAGTTTCTTACTTTTCACACCCCAAATTAAATGATAATAAATTATAGAATTAATGAATAGACATTTTAAAATCTCTATCTTTAGTGCTAGTACCTATGCAAGTAATGAGTTTATGTTTTCTTGAATGTACAGCAGCTTGATGATGAAGACAGAATCAGGGTATTTTCAGCATTTTATGTGCCTTGAAATAGTTTAGGATTGGAAATTTTCAGCATGCATATGTTGACTGGTACATTGAATACAGTAGTTGCACTAGCCACCATCCCCATGCCCGGTTAGCTTGCTTAAACATTCATGGCTTATTTGGTACTGTTGAGTCTTCTGCCAAAATACCCTCGTTGATGCAAGGGCATTTAGGACCACTGAGCTTCAACTTTGGCTTGGTGGATGGGGTTGTAGTTTGGTTCATTTGTTATGGTGGACTCGCCGTATGGGATAGTGTTCTGTACCAAAAGACCCTCAATGGCGAAGGTACAAGCGCATTTAGACCCCTGTGGGTTCAGATTGTACTGGGTGGATGGGCTATGGCATAGTTCATTCATCGTGAGTACTCTCTTCGTGAAGGGCTATATTTGATTGGTCAATTTCTTAAGAAGTTCTTGCGAGGGTTAGAAATGAAGAGGTCGTTGTTTTAGAAACTTTTGTTAAAAGCCTCGAATCTCATGATGAAGAGCAAGAGGGTGGTGAATTGAAACTTGAGATTCTCCTTATCTACTTCTTTCGTCGAGAAGTAGATTATATAAGTGTCAAATTTTTAGTGACGGTGGTGAATTGAAACTCGAGATTCTCCTTATCTAGTTCTTTCGTCGAGAAGAAGATTATATAGGTGTCAAATTCGTAGTGACGGTGGGACCAACAGATGTATGTAATTCAATCCAACTTCCTTAATTTGACTTTGTCTGTCACACTTTAGACGTCGCCATTGGATCGTTGAGGCCTCAGGAAGACATTTCTCTTTTAATTAATAATACGTGGTATTTATTTTCGAGCATATGCTGACCAACAAATTTAATGTTCTTGTTTTTAATGTTGTTGTGTACGCTTGTTCATCCAAATGGTCTAACCTTGCCATCACGTTTGTATTAACTAGCTCGCTTATTATAGTGTAATATATGGAACTTGTTGCCAATAAATAATTTTCTTTTGATTTTTCAAAATTTACTCTTGTTTTGAAATATTTAATTTGAGTTATGATATGATTGAGTCAAATTGTCCTCCCTTCAAATTTAGGATCCACGATATTGAGTTGTTTTGTTCAAAATCTCCCAACTTTTTTGAAAGTGGCTACTAAGCTTGAAATAATGTTTACGTATTTTATAAAACATGATGAGGTTCAGGGAAAATCACAAGTCTCCACATTTAGGTTTTTACATTACCTAAATCGTCAAGTAATACACTGAAATTACACACGATTTTCATGACTCAAAGCTAGAAGTGGATTTTTGTGGGTCTCCATGTGACCAAAACCGTGTATGTGGAATGTAAAATTTCACATGCTTTTTACGTGACTTACAGTTGGATGACAAAATTGTCAAACCACTTGACGTTTCATTGCAATTCAACTAAAAGTTGCATGCTATTTAACATTAATACAGACAATTTTCATCATGTGGAAATTTAAATTCACATATTTAAATAGATTAAAAACTCAAAATCTCCTTTTTTTTAAGGAATTTAGAACCTCATTTTTTAAGATTGGGAACTCTAATTTCACCTTGTATCTTTTAATTATTCCAAAATATAGTTTAGCTAATATAGGCCATGACACATGCAACAATGTTCCATGTACACTTCTGTGTACGTTGTCTCTATTATCTTTCCACATGATGTTATCATTCCCTTGATTTCTTCAACAATCTATTTATTTCTAGGGTTTTTCCACTTGTACATCAAGTGGTGTACATCAAGGACTACATCCCCCTCATATGGAGAGTAGGGTCCACTCGAATAATATTTTTTTATTCGAGTGGACCCCACCCTCCATGTGAGGGGGGTGTAGTCCTTAATGTATATCGTGATGTACCGATAGCATCACCCTTCTTTCTTATCTAGATTATGTCATATGGGAGACCGTGAGGAAATATGTACGCAAGAATGTACATCACATGATTGATGCCCCATCCCATCCCACCCCGCGCCACCGATTCATAAAGTCTCAAATTCCTCGCGTTTCTGTCTGAACAATTACAGTACACTCAAAACTGCTGCTTTTTGTGAAAGGATAATCGCAAATGTTAGGCCCCCAGTGCTGTGAAAATCCACCAACCCTCAACCCATCATGTGGAGAAGGGAGTGTACAAGAAATTGGAGGCCTAAAAACATATGTAATTGGACCCCAAGATTCCAAGGATGCCATTCTTCTAATTTCTGATGCCTTTGGTAGTAATCTGACAACCTTAAACTCATTTTGTTAGCTGAATACAATGTAGAGTGTACTGATTTAATCTAGTTTTAAATTTCACTGGAATTGTTTTGCAGGTTATGAAGCTCCAAAATTGAGGTACTTTTAAATTTTTCTTTGATTGATTAAGTTATGAAGCTTGGCTTATTTTTTATTCGTCTTTAAAATATTTTTTCTACCAATTTATTGTACTGTAATTGGCTTCTCGCATAGTGAATTTATGTTGTGGGTAACTGCAATTGTTCACTCTAGTAGCTATATATCAAAGAAAATCCTATTTTTCTTCTTTTTGTGTATGTGAAATGATAGGAGTAAAGGAGGATATACATTGACAAACTATTAACTAATATAATTAGCCCCGGTTTGGTTTAGTAAAAAATCTATACGTCAAAGTCAAAAATTAATTTTAATCGCACATCTCATGGGACTCACAACTTTTCAACCTTGTCTTCAATCAAAATCTACTAAAAATTTGATTTTTAGCAAAACCAAACGGGGGCTAGAACTAACATTTTATTAGAGGAAGAATTAATATGTTAGACCAATGCTCGAACTTCTGGTCGAATAATCACATTTTAACTTTGTATTTATCTCCGTCTATCTTTAAATTTCCGTAGCATAAGTTTTTTATACATATTGAAATTTCCGAATAATGTGTTTCGCCATGTTAAATTATCTAGGAAGATCGCAGATAAAGTTGCAGCTTCGGGGTTCTTAGTACTGGTTCCTGATTTTTTCTATGGTGATCCGGCCGTTCATCCCGATTTTGATAGACAGATATGGTTAAAGGCTCATCCTGTGGTTCGTTTCATGTTTCATTCTGTGCCAATTTCATTGCACATTTGCACGTTCACTAGGGGTGGGCAAATGAACTGGAACTAATGGTCTGTTCGGTTCTGCTCAAATTTTGAATGGTTTTGGTTTGTAAAACCAAGAATCGAGGACTGGCTCTCACCCATATCTTATTTATTTTTTAATGTTGAGCCTAGTGCACATAGACCAATTAACCCATTTTCTGTTTTTACACCACAATAAACCCAATTTAAAGCACACAACAAAACCTTTTTTGCACTTTTTCCAAACTTCAAAGCCCTTATTTTGTCTTCCAAGCTTTCAAACTTTGTTGTTTGCATTCAATGGGTTTAGTATTTTGATTTTGGATGTGAGTAAGTTTTCATTAGTAATATGAAAATTTTAGTTATGGAACCAATCCAATCCAAACCGGAACCATTTGGTACAATTCCATAATTACAGATGGAGCAAATGGTACCATAATAGGATAACCATTGGATCTTGGTTCCTCTCGTTCTCTTCAAAACCAAACGAACCAAACCGACCGCCTAACCCTAATGTTCACATTACAATAGCTATAATCGTATTTCATATGCACCATGCACCTTTTATGGTTATTGGCTGCTACCAGTACCAAATATCGTGATTGACAACTCCAATTTTTCAATACACTCTCTCTGCATAGTGTGCTCAATCAACATTTGTTCAGTAATTAGAATATCTGAGCTGATTAATCTGAGATATGGATAGGCTTTTCGACAATCTTTAGTTAGCATGACCTAAACGAAAGGACTCATTTATAAGTTAAAAAGGATCAGCGTTCTTGTATTTATTTGCCCGTCACTTGGATTTTGTTCTTTAGAAAAAAGGGTGTGAGGATGCGAAGGCATTAATTTCTGCCTTGAAAAGCAAAGGAATATCTGCCGTAGGAGCTGCTGGTTTTTGTTGGGGAGGTAAGTGATTTTATTATGTGCAGTTTTTCATCGAACCCGAAAAAATGTTAACTTTCTGCTCTTATTTAGGGATGGTTGTGGCGAAATTGGCAAAATTTGATTGCATTAAGGCTGCAGTTGTGTTACATCCTGGTCCAATAACGGAGGATGAAATAAATGGTAAATTTGAAAGTTTTCAACCTTTTTGTGTGTGTGTTTGTGTGTGTGTGGAAGGTTTCTCCTTAGATTTTCGACTGATACCATGATATCTCAGAGGTGAATTGTCCGATTTCTATATTGGGAGCTGAGGTCGATCATTATGCTCCACCCGAGCACGTAAAACGCTGGGGACAAATATTATCAGCAAAACCCGAGGTAAGAAGCTCTAGCCAATCCTCGCCTTTTGCGAGTTTTAACTTCAAATTCGATTGACATTATTGTTTGGATTCCAAAAGCCATAAATTTGTTAAGGTTGTAGTTGTGTTTAGAGTGAGTTGATCTTTTTATTTGAATGAGATACTGAAAAGGTCGAATGTTAGAACTTTATTAAAACTTAAACTTTATGATCTTGCCAAGATCTTCATGTCAAATCATCAAGAAAACTGAATTAACGCGGAACATACCTTAATCAATTGATTTCTGACTTGATTAATGAATCTTGAATCTGGATCTGTAAATCTTCAGTTTGGTTGCTTCAAATCTGCATCTTAATTCCTGATTGTGGGTTTTATGGATCTTCCTCTTCATATG